AGCTTTGACTGTGACTGCTGTGACTCGCATGCTCCAGCTTTTGCCTCATGTCTTACCTAAGTGGCTCACCCACCTTCTACCCCCTCCTGGTCCACTTTTCCACCTGATTCATGGTTCTCCTTGCTAGCAGTATTCGGAGCTGAAACCGCAACTTCCTCTACTTGTCTTTGGTCTAGCCTTTCGCGATAGCGAAGTGGAGAAAATTTCAAGTGACACATAAACTTCTCATGTGTGGAGAACGGTGGGGGGAGGGGGGTGGGTCGAGTTGGTCATACGCCTATGCCACTTCGGCATCTCTCAAAATATCAGAACAAAAAATACAGAGTGGTTACCGAGGAAATACAAAATGCTCAAGTGGTGTGTCTGATACTCGTATTCATTGAATAATTCTAGCTTCTTACGAAAGCTCCTCGATGAACTTCAATCAGAGATCGAGTCCCTACATCGAAAGCAGCAACACGTACTATCACTGGCCATAGCTGATCCCAAAGAAAAGGTCAGACTGAATTCTGAAGTTTTCTGGAATACAGCAAAAGTTTTTCGATGTTCTGGATGGACGTTTCAGGATGTACTTGAAGACCAAATTGCCAAGATTCGTCGAAAAACGTTTGATTTGCGTAAAATGGTCAATGAGGTCGACAACGAGTTCAGTGAATTTGCCAGAGGTAAACGTTCATTTATGCATGTTTAGTGAAACAAGCTCAAGTGTGCAAATGCAATCTTCGACGGAGTCATTTTTGACTTCTATAGAGGGGCAGTGAGCAGGCCCTGTGAGGATAACTTTGAAGTAAGCAGTGCAAGCCTCTTTGGTAATTCAAGGGCTGACGAGCGCGCGCTATCGGAAATTATAATACGCTAGAAAACAAGATAAATTTTCAACACGCACAGCACGGTTGCTTCGAATGTGCACTAAAAGTTTTCGCGAGCAAAGGCGGAACGAATGAGACCCAAATGTGAGGAATTAGTACAGCGCCTGCAGTGTATAAAACCTTGACAAAAATATAGGCGAATTCAAACGGCTGGGAAAATGGACATGCAGCAGCAAGCCACTGTATAGACGTACCACTTTACAAAGGCCTCTACCGTTCTGAGTGAAAATTGGAAGTGTTACGCATGCCTGACTTCTTAACACATTCACGACGACGCCCCTTTTCCACTTTTCGGTCGCGTGGGACGGACGCGATTTTGTGGGCGCCGCCGCCTCACCACATAACCGCAGATTTTGTTTTGTAAATGAACAAAAACATGAATGTCACAAAATAATTTCTGCAATGTCCAATGCGTAAAGATTATCTAAACATATAACAGTAGGATTTCGATCAGAACGACAAATAGTGGTTACGAAAAGAGAGCATTTATTCACTTTCCCCGTGAAGGAATTTAAAAGCATTTTACACTCGATTACGAGGTTTGCCCACCTATCTGTCCATTCCTAGCGCCTGGCAAGCGATTATCAGTTGGCAGCCCATATGGGCTGCCATCGTCCCAGGAGCACATGTTGTTGGCAGCCCATATGGGCGGCCATCGGCGTGAATGTGTTAAGCAAGATCAATCGGTGTCGATCCGGGAACATTTACTATTTCTTGCGTCTTTGCGGTCTTTCGGCCCTAATTCGTGTGACGTAAAACACAAGAACTGATTTGCAAGTTCTGAAGGGAGTTGTGCTCATTTGAGGAGGGACGAAATTTTGCCTTCCCCGATTTTTTGGAGGAAGAGGTATAACGTGCTCCAGCTCGTTGCGTCCGACTAGGTACGATCAGCAAATTTTCGCAGTGGTTTCTCATTATTTCAACTTTTTAGTCGCGGGTACAAATGATACGAGGCACGTATGTATTTTCAACTGCCCGTGGTTCCAATTCTGGAAATTTTACGACTCCATTCCTTTGGGGGAGGGGGTCTCGGCTTGACTGACCATTACCACCATCAGCCTTAGAGAGGTGGTTCCCTAACACGACCCTTCCCTTCCCAGCACCCTCACACCTTTCCCAACATGTCTGTATTCGATTCTGAGACCAGATGACACATTCCAACCACACCCCAAATTTCCTTCCAGAACTAAGGGAGGGAAACGGGGAATCCATTCAAAGAAAGGGCAAATGCTGTACTCCCTGCGGAACGACTCCACAAAATCTCCACTCCACCCCCTCCAAACCCCAAATGCTACCCACCGTTGGATGAGTAAGGCTGGTGTCAGAGTCCGCGATCCGTCGCAGGTTTCGCGCGATTCGCGCGACGGATCACAGAAATCACAAGTGCCCGATCAATACTGCAAGGTGCTCTCCAATCCCGCCGCCATTTCTGCTTGATGGTGATGGTTGAATGACGACTGTTCATGATTCTACTTGTTTCATATTCAGTTTCAAATGTTCAAATGAGGCACTTGCGATTTTTGCGATTCATGCGCAACGGATCGCGGACTCTGACACCAGCTTAACGGATAACGGCGATGGATGATTTACCCTGGCTGTCGCGGTGGACTCAAAGTCCGCTCAGCATGACTTGTAGCCCTAGACGGAACACACAAGTTTTATAATAGAAATGATAAAAGCCATTGAGGGTTATTGTTTTTGTTCAGTATGCCCATCACAAGGAGAGGTTCGGATTCGGAAAAACCAGATCGATTTGATCCGAAAGAAGCTACGCGATGTCATTATCCGTTTCAATGAAACTCATGCGGACTATCGATCAAGAGTCTCTGGTATGTCGCTTTGCATTGAAGGTCACTTCACTGATTTGTTTTAAAATACGGTAAAAGTATCCATAACTCGTGAATTTAGTTCGAGTCCGACGCCAGCTGCGAGCGGTTGGTGAGAATATCACGGAAGAGGAGGCAGATAAGATCATTGACTCCGCAGGTCGCGATGAGGTAATTTATCCCAAGATCGGCCAATTTGCTCTGAAAATGACCAAAATTGGGAGCAAGTTTTGTATCCGACACTGTAGTTAACGACTCCATCGAATTCGATGAGGGTGGAGTTACGCAGGGTTTTATACGAATGGATCGAGGAGAATGGCGCGCGCCTTTCCGATCCACCGATTTCGACAGAATAGAGTCCACTAATCGATACCTATCTTAACTTATGCCCATTTCGCTCACACGTTTTCGCGTGCGCCGATCTGCGCGGTCGATAGGTGTATGATTCTTTTCGCGAAATCGCATATTTCTTGGGAACAATGCATAAAGTGGATATGTAGGTGTGTCTCCTCCTGTGTATTGGCATCGACCAGTAAGGTTCAGAAATCGAAATCCGATCCGCCGTAGGAGGTCTACAGCTAATCTATCTTCTCTCCGGGGGGTTGTTGTCGCTAGTCAAGCGTTCCTCTTCGACTCAGCCTGACGTGAGGGTTTCTTCCGACGCTGCCTATTGGGACATTTTTGTTTTTTACGCATAGAAGTTCTGTGAGAACAATGAATGTTTTGGCACACAACTGTGGTCATGCACGTTGTTCGGTCTGCTTCTGGAAATTAGTGCCGTACTGTTGTTTAGGTTGATATCAAAATTTATTTCTTCTGGGAACTTTATTTGATTGAGTCTTGAAATTTGTTATATTAGATTAGTCACTTTTGTTCATGTTTCATTTGAGGCAGGAGGATCAGGAAAAGAAAAGTTTTACGATCAATTTGTATTCAAATCATTTCGGCGATTTTTGGGCTACTATAACGCGAGCTCAACCAGCAGCAGCTCGTGTTTTATTTCTGTACAGCTATCGGATTTTTGAATTCCAATGTTTACTTCAATCATATCTCATTTGTTGGTCCTCCATCAGCACAATAACTGTGAAAATATTGACGTGAAGCTTTCGATTTTATATTGACGGCAAGAGGCTTTGCCTTGCCAATTTGAGACTACGATCTCAACCACATTCTTTACCAAAAACAATTTGTAATGTAGTCCACCTGGTCTGAGAAAATATTTTTTGTTTCAGTTATTCTTTCGTGAGGTCAATCCACTCTCGGTCTCCGCCAGAGCGGCGTTAACCGACGTCAAGCGACGCCATAACGAAATCGTTGAACTTGAGAAGAGCATTCAAGAAATGCAGGAGATATTTATCGACTTGCAGAATCTTACAGAAGTTCAGGTAGAGAAGGCTCCTTATTACTTTTTTCAGTCCGGCAAGAAATGTCCCGTCATCCTCATCCTTTGATCGAGTGTCGCAAAGTCTGTAGGGCGTTGCTGTTGTGATGACGTCGTTGAACGTCATTGGTTGGAGGACGTTAAGAGGCGGTTCCAGCCAGGCCCGTTGGCGCTCCGAGGGTTCTGCTCGACCAATGACCAGCGACGTCGTCGACATCGACCCGCCTCCAGGCATCGCAGTCACTGCCTTTTAAACTTGCGGACCTAGATATACGTTATACATGGCGGTCGTACTCCTTTCTCTCAAATCCTTCTCGCTTTTCCCATCTTAAACATGTGTTCCTAGATAAAACCCGTCTCCAGCCCCCTATCTTGACATTCTTCGGTACTGGAACACTTTCAGCATTCTAGGGTCATACTCTCCATAATAACTGTAGACGCACAACGTCACGACGTCTGTTGTCAGCTTTCCCTGCTCTCCGCTTTCCTTTACTTTGCCTCATGCTTTCTCATTTGCTCTTGGGGGATCCTTTCCCAGAATTTTATTCTGCTAATGTTATAATCTAATCTCTAATGATTGCTTTCCTGGTGCTTGGGATTAACATTTTTGATTTTGCGTTGGCTGGCCGGTCCAAGCTCTCCACTTCCTTGAATTAATGGGCAAGTAGCTCTTTGCAGGGATATTGCATAACAACGAAATTTTGAAGATTACTCGTTACTTACTTACTTCTTACTTCTCGACTGCTATTCGTCCCGGGCACGCAAGAAACGCAGGTCGCACCACTTCACTGTGCTTAACTCTTCTGCCCACACTGGCCTACATCAGGTCACCGCCGTTCGAACTGTTCGAATGTAAGGGTCGCATTTGATCGATTCGTCGCAATTTCGATGACTGCACCACACCTGCTGATCCAGAAAAATTGGTTGTCAGACCCACTTAAATCTATATTAGCATCATAGAGTTATACGAAAATTACGGTTTTCCTTGAGGAATAGAGAACAGTTGAATGCATCCCTATGAAAGGTTTGACTTCTCGGGGCTGAAATTAAAGTTCTTCGGGACCTGATTTTCTGAGGACGATTCTTCCAGACAACGGTAAAACATATAAGAAGCAGAAGTCTCGTAGTCTTCAAAAATGTCTTCGCCCCTCCCCAACAAGTTCTTTGAAGGAAGTTATTATTGCTGAAAGCTCAAAAACTCGCATGTGCTGCTCAAAAACCTATGAGAACAAAATGTTCGAACGTGTGATTTCTCGGAAAATAGATTTTGAAAAAAGTGTGTTAGAAAGAGCAAATCCTGCACTTTCACCCCATGGAAAAAGTGCATCACAGAAATGAAAATGAAGTGAGTTATGCCCGCTTAAAGCCCAAAAACTCGCGATTTCAAAAAAAGTGTTCGGCAAAACCCCCCAAAATGTTCGAACGTGTGATTTTCTCGAAAAATGAACTTTGAAAAACGGTTTGGGGCTTGTTAGAAAGAGCAAATCCTGTACTTTCACCCCATGAAAAAAGTGCATCACAGAAATGAAAATGAAGTGAGTTATGGTCGCTGAAAGCCCAAAAACTCGCTTTTGCACGAAAAATGTTCGAACGGGACAATTTTTTGAAAGGGGACAATCACTAATTTCTTTTTACTATTGCTAGAGAAAATATTGAAGTTTCTGAAATTTTACAAATTCAAATGTCCTTGAAAGCTATGCCTTTCAAAGTGAATGCCTCTTAGAATTTTGGGTTTTCCACTTCTAACAGAAGTACTTTCCGGAGAGTTAGGCAATCCTTGTAGTTTTCTGGAAGCGCACCTCAGGCACAATCAAAATCTACCTCAACAAGTCAAAAAAATACGTCCCAAGAAAGTTATTCCCCTCTAAAATTTTTTCTTCGCCGCGTCCCGTTCTTCCAGCGCCCGGTGTACCTGCCGCGCGCTCCAAGGCTGACGCAGCAATGCAGACGCTGTCTGCGGCGGCACAGACGCTTTCTGGCGCAACGGATTCATGTCTAGCGACCTCTTTAACGAAAGAACAGCTCCAAAAAAAGTCCCGAAAATGATTCGAACTTGACGGGGTTGACCCTGGTACAATTTAGGGAAGGAATCTCCCACCGTGCGGTCTGTCTTGTCTTTTCCCTCGATACCACGTTACTTCACGTCCACCATCATCGGTGATCTACCTCATGCACCCCACTCGATTGTAGTTATAGAATAATCCCCATAATAATTAAATATTGCATTTAATAATAAATATTTCGTTACTATAATTATGATTCCAACTATTTTCTTCAGTATGGGAAGAAGCACGCGACTCTCCATAAGACGAAGCCGCGAATAAGCTTTATGCCTCAATCCTCAGAAATAGTCATTTCTAAAAACACATGCAACATGTAGAGGCCGAAAATGCAGCGCATGACTAGGCAAGCCATCCTTCTGGTTGTCTGTGTCTCTCTCTCGCAGCTCTCCAGTTCTCCATCTCACTTCCTCTCGCCTCGGCCACAAGCTCTTGAATTATTGCTCCCGTTAAATTCTACCCCAAAATGCCCTCATTATACTTCTCTTTTTTCATTTCTTGGCGACGTCGAATTACACATAATGCTTTACAATCGACTTCAATATCTATCACTTCCGTGCTATTCGTGCGCCTCACAGCAACCTGTGTCATACGCATCATTCTGTGCGATGTAAATCTTAAGATTGTAGAATCTTGCCTTTAAGCATTTTGGCGAATCGTGCCGCGTTAAAACGGGTCAGACTATAATGTCATGAGTTTTTTCAGGGTGACATCGTGGATAATATAGAGCGCAACGTGGACACTACGAAGGTACACGTGGAGGAGGGAGCACGAAATGTCAAAGTTGGATTGGAGTACAAGAAGAGCGCCACGCGAAAGAAGGTTGGCTTCACTGTGAACATTATTTAGTGCTTGAGGGGACAGTAGGAATACTACGTCGTTAGCCGCTTATCGTGAGAAAGAGCACTTCAGTGGCCAAGGGTGTCAGTCACATGGTCATGCTCAAGGCCAATCAGACCTTCCAAATCGAAATGGTTCTATTAGCCCCTAGTCGATATAAATGGTACAAGTATGAAGGAGGAATCTGAATATCTTGATATTTTTGCTGGAGCCTCGGTCATGCTTATTTTTGTTTCCTTAGACAAATGCGTTACCCATTTGGTCGACCAAGGATTTTCCAACCGGTGGGGTCCTATTTGCGATTTCGGAAGTGGGTGGGGGTCGTAATGAGGTTTTGATCGGGGCGCGAGAGGCAGAGGGTCGCTGATGTTGGGTGACTGAAAATGTGTAGAATTTGCAATTGCGGCAGTTCTGTGCGCTACCCTCCCCATTTTCCGTCGACGCACTTTTCGTCTTTGAGGCAAAAATGAAGTGTGTGAAGGTACTCGTAAGAAATTTTTTGGAAAGAGTTGTATCTAGTGGTAAGGTGATGGGGAGGGGGTCGCAAAAGACCTTTCATGGTGGCGGTATTAGCAAATGTTTATCAACGTCACGGCTGACTCTTATCACTCACGAGGCGATTACCACTAATTTGTTTTACCTGGGAGGGAATACAGCCAGCAGAATGAGCTACTACATCTTAACAACTGCCTCAATCTTTTTTAACGCTATTGAAGGCTATCAATTTCTCTCTCCATCTCTCTTTCTCTTTCCATTTCGTTTCGTTCTACTGAGGAGCACGGGCGAGGCTCTCGTATTGGGCATGGCCTGAGCGGCAATCATAGTTTCAGTGATGGGCGTTGTTTGTGTGATGGGTGTGGTTTGTCCAAGAACAAGAACCGTGAAATCTCGCAGAGAACAGCGGGTACGTAACGTTTCTCCTCCGTGTCTGGTCACCTAAAATTGAGACGCCGTTCATTCGCTCGGAGCAAGCTTAGGACTAAGCCTAGGCCCAATCATAGGCTTAGGCATAAGCCAATGTGTAAGCATAAGCCTTAACCTAAGTCTAACCCAAACTTAACCTTAAGCTTCCGTGATCGCGCAAGTGGTGACCTGATGGTTGGGGAGGGTACTTCTTTGTGCTCTGCGCCTTCAGAGCTAAGGATATCTCCAGAGGTAAGGATGATAACTTTGACAACACGCTTACTTAAATAGCTTTTTGATGAGGATTGACGAAGAGTCTCGAATCCAACACTTTCAATCCAGTTCCACGCATGTGATCAGTGTCCACCCACTCCGGAGCTTCTACCATGCCGTATCCCTTCTCCCCCGCAGGCCTAGACAAAATATTCGTGCCCTTAGCCATGATCGCTTCTTTTCTCCATTTCAGGCTGATTTAGCCAGTCCTCATCAGAAAGATACTTCAAATGACGTGGTTATTGAGGCTCCTTTCTTTAGCCTTATGATCGCCCTTATCTTGATTCTTATCGTTAGAGTTGCAGAGGTCAATGATGCTCCCCTCCTCCTCCCTATAGAGAAGTTCGCCGTGTTACCCCATCATACCTTCGGCGAGACCAATCCCTTATTACTCCAGGGGATCTCATCGACAGTAAATACACAAGCCATTTTGTATCTTCGCTCTATGTGCATCGTATGGAATTAGTTGATTAGGGATTGAATAAGAAGGGATATTAACCGAACGTGTCATCCCTTGATTCTCACCCTCCTTCAGAATCGAAGTCCACCTTAATCTGCATCAAATCATGTTTATGATATCCCCATAAAACTCATGGCTTGTTGGGGAATTTAAGCACGGGCCGAGATGATGCACGCTCCTTTGTTCCATGCCCGGGGGCAAACGTTGATATTTTGCCCCTTTGAGGCTTGAAAGTGAGTGACAAGGAGGCTAGAGGTTGTAACAAAAAAGAAGTGACGCCCTTCAGTCATCATGATCTTTGTCCGTAATTATCCCTTCTCTTTTTTGAAAAGTGAGCTGTTGGAAACAATCCTTTTTGAAAGCCACATTTACTGACAAGCCTAGAACTTGCCTTGATGACCGTTCAAAAAAGAGATCGCATTAAGGGGCGGCCATTATTTATTGTTTGATATAAGTTCATAAAGTTTGATTCATTCGAAGCTCGGCGTTCAAACAAGCTCTCTTGTCCCGGAAAAGTTTACTAACTTGTAATGGTACTATTTGTACCACTGCTAGTCAAAGGTTAAAGCGTCTGTTCTGGCTCTTGAGCTTCTTATTAGTGAGACAGTCCTTACGATCCATCACTAGCCATCAAACGGATACTTTCAGATTATGGTGGCATTGTGTGTTGTGATACTGATTCTGCTCCTCATAGTGGCCGCTATTATCCTCGCAGTCGTACTCTCTGGTCACAAATGAGCTTCGGGGTTGAGCGAGGAAGTTCGAAAGCCGTTTTCAGAGCTTGTTTGATGAATCTGATTATGTAAACGTTTACCGTCACAGTGCTGCCTTTGATTCTTTTTCATTTCTTCAAGAACTTTTTTGTTTATGTTTCTCCTTTTTTGTTTACCGGTGAGTTTCACTTATTTGTCGTGTCCGAGATCTTTTATTCGAATTTCATTACTCTGATGAGTCCATTTTTGATGAATGTTTTGTAGTCTCTTTTTGATTGCCTATAAAATGCCCAATTTGCTAGGCGACCTCCTAACATGTATATATTTTGTTGAAATAATTGTTCTAGGTCCGGGGGGATGTCTCATTTGAAAGAAAGATAGATTTGTTGCTGTCAAAATGAATAATCGTTACGGTTGCTTATTGAATAATCAGAAAATTGCCCAGTTATCGATTTATTCTCACATAAGATTTTGTTTAGATTTTAGACATTGCTTTACGGGACGATACAACACTTATCCATAACCACTTAACCACCCTTTATCATGTGATCACTATTATTGTGCTGCTATCTCTTATACTTTTTTATGTGAGTGATAAATGGCTTCGTTCCCACTGTTACAGTGACTGTTTAGCTTTGCGTTTTCATACGCGAGGGTTTTTGTTTCAAACATCTAGAAGCAAAGATTCACTTCTTTTTCTCCACTTTCTTCCCTTTCTTAACTTTTTTGCTACCTTTCAGTTTTTATCACTTTTGATGAGGAATATGTGAAAGGTGTTATTCGAATTTGGCGATCAATCTTCTGAAAACACTTTCTCCACCACTGGATAATCGGGGATTACGGTAAAATTAGGGTCATAGGTAGAGCCGTTCCTGTGACCAGTGTCCCCAGAGCCGGTATTGGCTTTTGTCGAGCTTCTTATCTGGCCACTGCCATCCCTATTACTTGTTGACTGATTACCTGTTGCTTTTTCCCTGATATCAATGCCTTTTGACATCGTCGAATTGGTATGTTGTGCCGCGCTTAGCATCATCCTGTCGCCATCCTTTGGAGAGAGATGCAATTCCTTCAGTTTCCGTTTGTTTATATTAATGGTAAAAAGTCCTGAGCCGTTTGACACTTTTTTGTTCTTTACTTTTTTATTCCGCGTACAATGGAATCTACTCAACAATATAATCACCATTGTTACTCACTACAGAGTCCCACCTAATGGGCAGGTCAGCGACCCCCTTCTCCCAGAACTGAGCAGACTGAGAGTCAAAGAAATCGCTGACCGCTCTTTCAACGTCTTCAACTTTGGTGAATTTTTTCTTCGCTAGGAATGCCTTAAGGGGATGAAATAAGTGATAATCAGAGAGGGCAATGTCAGGGGAATAGGGTGGGTGGGGAACCGCGTCCCAGATCAGCTCTTCCAATTTTGCACGGGTCTCTTTAGCTATGTGGGGCCTGGCGTCATCGTGGAGTAGGTGGACAGAAGTTCGTCTCGGTCGTTTTTCTTGAACAGCGTCCGCTAGTTTCTGGAGCTGACTGGCGTAAATGCTGCCGGTAGCGGTATGTCTTTGCGGGAGCATCTCATAATACAACATTCCTCACGAATCCCAGAGGTAGCAAAGAAGACAGCTTTTGGGGTGAAGGTCCGATTTTGCTTGTGTCGGCGGGTCTTCTCCTCGAGGGAGCCACACGGCACTGTGCTTGTTAGAATCGTAGAGGACCCAACTCTCATCTCTCGTAATCATGCCTTCCAAAAACTCCTTTCGGTGCGGACAAAGAAGGAGAAACTGACAAATGGGTACCCGCCTGAACCGCGTGCTATCGGTCAAGACATGAGGGATCCATCGAGTCGGCACTTTCCTGTGGCGAGGGCGTGGAGGGGACCGAGGACTGTGGGATGGGTGCACCCGAGTCTTATCACAAGGCTGCGGGTGCTAACCTCCGGATCCTCTTCGACAGCGCCGAGAACGGTGGAGTCTTCCACTGTTTGGGGCTTCCCAACCTTGTCTTGTCTTCGGAAGCCGTGTCTCCTCCTTCGAAGCCTGCGAACCAGAGCTTGGCACTGATGATGGAAGTGGTGTCCCTTACCTGATCGATATCTGCTTTGAACTGGTATTGCCGTAATCCGACAAACTATCATTTTACAAAAAATTGTTCCACTGCGCTCACTTAGGGGACATTTTAGCGCAGATTTCTGATCCATCATGAAAGTTCAGAAGAAGTACTACTCAACTTAACCTTCCTTCCTTTTCATACAAGGAAATCGGTCCACCAACCGCGGAGCTCTACCCCTTCCCCGCCTCCCCCCAACTTGGGATGCGCAAACTGTTGCACCAAAATGTCATCCCCAAACTTCTTAAGCGCTTGTTCAACCTCAAGTGCATAGTGACAGAATCCATATTGGATAACATCTGAAATGATTGTATGCTGTTATGGTAAAAAAAAGTCCTTTGTGGTTTCCGAAGTCCTGAAAGTCCAAAACCCTTGAAGATGGGAACAATAGCGCTTGTTCTCCAGGCATCCGGCATCCTTCCTTCGGCAGTTACCGTGTTCAGGAAGCGGGTGAGCCACCTACCCCGTGCTCTCCGAGCGCCTTCCAAGCCTCTATTGGCACTCCATCTGGACCAACCGCCTTTCCAACCTTCATCTTCCCAAGTGCACACCGAACCTCATCCTCTGTCCAGAGTGCGATGGGACCAGCTGTGGCCTCTGCCCGTGAGTTGTTCTTGTGGGGAACTCGTCAGAGGTGTCCATCTCCAGATTCTTCTCCTTCGCAAGCTTCCTACAATAGTTTCCTACCTTGCTCCCACAATAGTTTCCTAGCTTGCTTCCACCTGCCTACCTAAGTCTTGCTTCGCAAACGGTATTTTACCCAGAAAACTACCACGAAAACTCTTTGCCACTGTCCTATCTGCTAAAAATAGCGAAGACTAGTGATAAATTAGAAAGTGTTATGTTTTATCCTCACTATTTCCACTTGAGGGCGGATGGTTCAGTGGTAAGCGGCGTTGCTTACGTCGAGCCCGGTACGGGGATGAGATCCTATTTCATACCTCGTTCATGATTTTTCTTCCTTTTTTGTTTTTGACGTTTAAAAAACATGTTCATCATGATTCGAATAGTAGTGGGTGCTCTGCACGAATATCTCGTATTTTTATAGAATACCCTCGAATAGGCCCTCGAATTTAACGCGACCAGAATCCATCTCTGTTTATCTCTGTTATCAGCGTAAGCCGAAAAGCCGAACCTTGGGTTTGGGGAAGGGGGGGGGAGGGGGAAGGATGTAGCTGTGGTGCTTCGGCCACGCTAACATAATTTTTCGCAGGGAAAAGAAACCCCGAGATTGATGAACCAGCTTGCTCAAGTAAGAAGGGAATTGAATGACTGTTGAACTTTTCTCGAACGTTGATACAATAGGTGCTCTCCACTGCTATGTTTTTGGACACCATCGAGGACCTGGAGCGATCAATGCCCCGTTGCCAAGGGCGTTCTTCAATCACCACCAAGCCAAAAATCATCGATGACCGTTGATCATTGGTATCGAATACGACAAGGGGATAACAGTTATTTCAGAGCATTTCTGAGACCCTGATTTGGTCCAACTTCATCCATGTGCATGCCTGTCCTTGAATAAGTGAAATCGTACTCAAGGGAGGTTTTCGGAGGAACGATTCACTCGAAAAGTTAGGCGAAAAAGTTGCGATCATGGAACAGCGCTGACCTACGTTAATCAGGCCACCCGCCCAGTTCCAGAAAATTCGCTCCGGTGGCCGGCTCGCTTTGGTTTCGATTGCACACTTCCTGAGTTTTCGATTTTTTTTTTCTTGATATTGTGCATACCAGTGCGCTGTGCTGCCCCTCACTCCTTCTGGTACATCATCGCTCCTTCTATGTCGTTGCTCTTCTCGATTTTCGCAGTGAAAATTAAATGTCCATGTAGAAAAAAAAACCTTGTCTCAAAACTTTAGCCCTATGTATAGTGAGGTATTTTACCTGAGATTTTGCAAAAAAAAACTGGGAGTTAAATGGAAATCGTGTTTCTTCTTGTGCTAAGCAAACATAGGCCCAAGGCTACCTTGAGACGGCAAACGTTGAGTTGTCCGCTGATGATGACGATCTCTAGACCAGGGTCACAGTGCATAGTTTATGATAGTCGTCTACGATATTCGATTCTTTCGATCGGTGAGGGCGACTGCTAACCGGTGGCCGTGTTGATATTGATTATTTTTTTGTGAACGAGATTTATTTATTCCATTGTTTTTTTTTTACTTTTTAAGCCACGTTTTTCCTAACTCTTATGCAGTTTCAAATCTTTCTTACACGGTGAGCGATTGGTGAAATAAGCCTTTGCGTGTGGATGTATTGCTCTTGTAAAGGAAATCGCAAAATTACCGCTCAGCCATTTGTGGGAATGGCATGATTTGCTCTGGTAGATTCAAATGATTCACCCGGAGATGAAATGTCCCCATTTGTAACAGTTGTAACAGTTGACATTTGTAACAATTGTCGTTTTGACTTCAATGGTGGGTGGTGGTTTTAGAGCTAACCTCGGCAGGTCGGTATGGTGGAGAGATTTATTTGTTCGGTGCATCACTCACAACCATGGTTTTTTCCATCAGACGTTGCTTAACCAACACCAGATTTGTCTGCAAGCAAGAAAACACTAGCTAGTGTTTCGGTTGGCCCGCCAATCATTGCTTGGACCACTTCGATCGGAACTCCTCTACGATTCAGAAGTAGAATGCGCGGCGTGTTCTGAAAAGGATCAACTAACGTCGAATGCATTACTTCAGGAGACAATCATGAGTCTTTGTGGCAAACAGTATGAATAGGTAGCTGAAGAGGCGAGGAGGATAGCATGGAGAGAGAGCTGACACCGCGAAGGTTGGGGGGTCCGCGATTGTTGAGGTGCTCACAGTCGCGATCTCAAGCCCACACTGCCCTCTTCTAGCGGTCTGATTCGCAAAATCATTTTAAATATCTATAGTGCCAACCCATGGAGGTAATTTCCGAGAAGGATTGGTCCAAGTATTA